ACTTGGTATTAAGGTGAAAACGTTCCCCACACTGATCTGATCTGTAAATTCAATGCAATGCAATTTCAAAATCCCAGGGGTTTTTGTTGTTGCAAAATTGGCAAACTGATTCTGATACTCATGAAATTGCAACCCAGAATAGCCATTAAAAATAAAGAACAAAGTTGGGGGATTCATACTTTCCGATTTCAAAACTTAACTACAATCGGGTGGCTCAGTCAGTTAAGTGTCAGCCCTGATTTTGGCTCAGGTCATGATTTCACAGTTCTTGGCTTTGAGCCCGAGTCAGGCTCTGTGCTGACAGTTCAAAGCCTGTTTAGGATTCTCTCTCTCTCCCTCCCTCCCTCTCTGCCCCTCCCCTGCTCTCTCTCTCTCTCAAAATAAATAAACTTTAAAAATAAATAAATAAAGTATGAAGAGTCAGATAATTTAAAATAAAATTTGGGGAAAAACTCACCACACAAACAATAATCATAAGAAAGTAAGAATATGATATTAATAATAGACTGCAGACCAAAAACAATTGCTACGGATAATGAAAGTCTTTCATAATGATAAGGGGGAAAATCATCAAGAAGTCATACTAATTCTAAATATAGATAGATAGATAGATAGATAGATGTAGATAACAGAGCTTGAAAATACATGAAGCAAAAATTGAAGGCACTGAAAGGAGAAGTAGACAAATCCACAAATATAGCTGGAGATTGCAATATCACTTCCTCAGTAATTAATAGAACAAGGAGATGAAAAGTTGAGCAACATTAACAGCCAACTTGATTTCATGACTTAGCACTACACCCAACAACAAAGAAATATACACTTTTGAGCACACATTATATATTCACTAAGAAATCCTATTTTTTATCATAAAACAACTCAATAAATTAGAAGGATTGAAAATTGTTTAAACTTTTCAAAGCAACACACATGCTAAATGTATTATTTATATAAAATATTTGAGGTTGGATATTACAACTTATTTTCATCACCATTGTTTTAAAATGTTTTTTCTCAGCCCCATTTTTTGTTGTTATTCTTTTATTTGTTTGTTTGTTTTTATATGTAATTTATTGTCAAGTTAGCTAACATACGTACGACGTGCTCTTGGCTTCAGGAGTAGATTCCCATGATTCCTCACTTACATGAAACACCCAGTGCTCATCCAACAAGTGCCCTCCTCGATGCCTATCACCCATTTTCCCCACCTCCCTACCCCACTTCCTTCCACCATTAGTTTGTTCTCTGTATATAAAACTCTCTTAAGGTTTGCCTCCCTCTCTGTTTGTAACTATGTGTTTTTTTCTTTCCCTTCCCCCATGGTGTTCTGTTAAGTTTCTCAATTTCCACATGAGTGAAAACATATGATATCTGTCTTTCTCTGACTGATTCATTTCACTTAGTGTAACACCCTCCAGTTCCATCCACGTTATTGCAAATGGCAAGGTTTCATTCTTTTTCATTGCCAAGTAGCATTCCAGTGTGTGTGTGTGTGTACCACATCTTCTTTATCCATTCATCAGTTGAAGGACATTTGGGCACTTTCCATAATTTAGCTATTGTTGAATGCTATCAACGTTGGGGTGCATGTGCCCCTTTGAATCAGCACTCCTGTATCCTTTGGATAAATTCCTAACTATTGCTAGCTCATAGGATAATTCAATCTTTAATTTTTTGAGCCACCCTATTTTCCAGGGTGGCTGTACCAGTTTGCATTCCCACCATTAATACAAGAGGGTTCCCCTTTCTCTATATCCTCACCAACATCTGTTCTTTCCTGAGTTGTTAATTTTAGCCACTCTGACTGGTGTTGAAAGGGCGGG